AATTTAAATATTTTGCGGGATAAATTTTATTACGTTTTCTTCCATCTCATCTTTCCGTGTTCGTTGAGAATTTCAAGGTTTTCGTAGTCAATGTTCCACTATAAAGAACTGAACGGCATCCTAAAAAGGTTAACCGAAGAATTTTGTTTTGCATGCTCTCTTTTTTATTTTGGAAAAAAATCAATGACCTATCAATACCCAAAAATAATTTTCATTGTAACTAAAGGTTACTCATATAACGCCTTTAATGCACAACAAAAAAAAAAATAATAATAATAAATCCAATAATAGATAAAAATGGGGGTGTTGCAAAAAATTTGCATACTAAATTTATTGATGAGAGCAAGACAAATTTATTTAGATTTGAAGTAATTGTTGAGCGAGTTTACTAGAACTTAAATCATATAATATTTTTTAATTTCATTTGTTGCCAATCATTTGATCTATTAATTAATTATGCTTGCATAAAATTACTGGGCACTTAAATCCCGCATAGCCCGTTTCAATAATATAAGTAATTATTCGTAATAAAAAATTTACCAATCTTATCGGGCCGCCGCAATAATAGGCAGTTTATACAAATCTGAAATGTGAGGGTGATCGACATTACAGTCATTTGCTGATCATGAAACTTCGACAAACTCGTCGTTGTGAAACCGTTAAATTGCTCTCGGGAATAAATTGGATCTGTCAAAAGTGTAGTTTCGAACAAGTTGATTTCTTACTATTTTGTTCACAAGAATGTGGTGATGTCCACTCGCATAGAGTACTTCTAATCCATAAAAATTCTACAAAAGGAATAATTTGTTCTATGATCCATGGATTAAACTTGAGGGATTTGTTTCACAACATACAAATATTTACTTGATCAAAATTTTCATAAGATCATCACAACGTCACGTTGAAATAGGTAAATTTGAATGCAGTTATCATATAAATAAAAATGCACAGGGCAAAAGTATATAAAGGCTCCGTGGGTGTCTTCAGAATTCATTAATCAAAAAAATGCTATCCTTACAAGCAAAGAACGGTGATAATACCACGATTTTATCTTTTAGTAGTGATGCATTGTCCTTTGAATCGAAAAATAAAATTGGTGGTAATAAACACTTATCCTCCTTGATTATTTTATTTTATTTTTTATTTTTTTTATTTTTTTTTGCATATTTAATTTATTTTAAATCATTTATTTATTAAAGTTACAAAGATATCTTCTAGGTACATACTTTCTGTTTATCTTGATAAATCAAAAGGCATTCGAATTATAGTCAAGGCGCTAATTCCACATGGAAAATTAGTATTGAAGTTGAATACCTTTTCTTTTGATGTCTTGGATGAGGAAATTGCTAAATTATGGATCGAAAACGTAAATGCTATTGTATATAAAGGTAAGATTAGAATTATAAGATGTAAAGGTATCTTCCACATTAACATTTGTTTTTTTTTGCTTTAGATACTAAAAAAGAGAAAAGACTCAAGATATTCATTAATCCTTTTGGCGGATCTGGTAGAGCAATGAAAATCTTCAATAATTCCGTTAAACCAATATTTGATGCAGCAAGGTGCAAATATGACATTACTTGTTAGTAGATTTTTTTTTTTTTCCTTAAAATTAAGGGGTTAAATTATGTTTGTGACGCATGCGGATAGGTCCCTGAGGCCCCCAAATCATCCTTAATGTTTACCAAACATAACCCGTTCATCATTTCTCTGTAAATTTAGTAACGGAATATTCGAATCATGCCAAAGAAATTGTTAAAGATTTGGATCTAAAAGATTATGACACCATCGTTACGGCGAGTGGTGATGGAATCGTTCACGAAGTCATCAATGGACTCTTATCACGTGATGACGCACTTGACATCGATATTCCAATTGGGGTTGTTCCCGCAGGTAAATTCCATCCCAAATTTATTATTTTCGATTATTATAATTTGATGATTTAACAGTTAAACATGTTCAACATTTTTGTAGGTAGCGGAAACGGATTGAGTTTTTGTCTCTTGGGAAACGATCACGGTAATAGCGCGTCGCATGCCGCTCTAAACGTCGTCAAAGGTATTCATTTGATCATTACATCTGGAACATTTTTTTTTTATTATTTTTTTTTTTTTTACAAATTTTTTATGTTTTATTCAGGCGTTCCAATGAAAATTGATGTGTGTTCAGTGACACAAGGAAATCAAAGATATTATTCTTTCATGACAATAAATTATGGTATAATAGCCGATTGCGATTTGTCAACAGAACATTTGAGGTATTTCATCTTGTCGAAAGGTTTTTATATCACGTTAATATTCTCTACCCATTAACTTGATTCTATTTATTGTAGATTTATGAAGGATTTACGGTTCGTGGTTGGTGCCTTACAAGCATTATTAGCAAATCGAAGATATGGTTGTGAGATAGCTATGAAAGTTGTCGAGGATAATATTGAGAAAATTAAACAAGGATATCATAAAACATATGATGCATCAACATCATGTATCGAAGACAATCGAGATAAATCGGAGGGGATTAAGGATAAGTTTGGAAGTGTAAATGATCCGATCCCATCAGATTGGACCGTTTTAAATGATGATGGATATATCTTCATCGCAGGCAAGATCCCATGGATATCCAAAGGACAAATTGTATTTCCTTGTGCGTTACCATCTGATGGACTCTTAGATTTAATGGTCGTTAATACTGAGAAAGTATCAAGAATGAAAGTTGCAAGTATATTGACCTCATTTGAAGAATCATCTCATATTAACATGAAGGAGGTAAAGTGAATTTTTTTTTGTTTATTTTATTCTTTATTTTTCACGCTTCATTTTTGAAAATGAGAGATTAATTAAATGTCTACCTTTTTTTACATCATTGAAAGGTCAATTATTATAAGGTAGCGGCGTTGCGATTAACCCCCAAAAACAAAGATGTTGGATACATTAGCATTGATGGAGAAAGGGTTCCATTTGAACCATTTCAGGTCGAAGTACATTCTAAATTAATAAATGTGCTAAGTATAGACGGGAGATATGCTTCTACAAACGTATAGTAATTGATGTATATATATTTTAGATCAAGTATATAAACCTGAAATCATTCCGGTAGCCTTTGCATTATCTTTTCTTATGTATAGATTTGCTTTGATTTACTCAAACATTTCTATTGAATCACAGATTTAATTTATTAATCAATTACATAACAAAAAACAATTTGTTTGAATTTCTCAAAACAACCAATCAAGAAGGAAAGGGAATTAGTAAATAAAAAGTAACCAAATTTGTCGTTGAATGCGACAATCTCTTTCCATAAAAGGATCAACTAAACACACGAAAGGACAAATTATAGCGTATAGATCAACGACATTTTCCCACACCCCTTCCACAGTTTCAAAGTAATTTTTAAAATAAATTATATGTATTATATTTTTTTTAATTTCTTAAAATTTATTTAAAAATACATAACTTGTTAGATAATCAACTTTATGCAACATGTCTTCGTCATAGTCTATATAAATTCCAAAGAACACATAAGCCGGACTATCCACTTGTATCCCAATGATTTCATCAAATAAAAGGAATGGTTTGATAATAATAGTCCAGAAAAAGTACATGACCTCATAAAAACCTTCAACGTCATCATCACACTCACCATCATAATAAATTTCAAATATCATGAGAAATGTGTCAATGAACATTACGGCGGATAAAAATGATAATTGTAAGATGAAGTAATAACAAAAAGCTCCAACGAGAACGAAGGAATAAAGGATTGGAACGACCATTATTAAATAAAATTCTTTATATGATAAATCACAAAATATGTGTTTGAAATTTTTATAAGTCATCCCGATGAACCCGATTAGGAATTGTAACATCACCAAGAAAGACCCAAACACGTACCCATACGGTACGATGATTAGAATGAAGATGGAAATGAGTATGGACAAATCGATGAAACGAATCACCCTCTGATAGATTAATTGTAAAATATTGAATTTATAATGTTGAATTTTTTCCGAGAATTTTATGGAATTGAAATGCCAAAAGGATCTGATGAATAATATGGACTCCTTGAATGGTTTAAACAATAACGAATCAATCAACAATTCATAAATGGAATCATTATTACGAAAGAATTTATAAATTAAATAAATTAATGCTGTTGTTGATGAAAGTGAATGAACCGGATATTCCGGCCTTTTTATGACCGTTATAATCGGAACGACAAAAGTGATGAAAATGCTATAACCAATGAAAAGTAAGATGCAAGTAGGGATGTATAAAATAATTATCACTGGCGAAAGGAAGAATAAATAAATTTTTATCCTTAAATCTAGTTCATTTTCCGTGAAAATAAAATGGTAAAGTTGGTAGATTGATGGAAAATACCATATCAGTATCGTTATTAAATTTGGGATTAGACACAATATATAAATTGGTATGAAATTTAATATCAATTCAAATAAAATTAATGTTGAAAGAAAAACAAACTTTAAGATCATCATTTAACAAAAAAAAAAAAAAAAAAGGAATGTTGGTTGAACTTTAAAAAAAAAAAAAAAAAAAAATGATGATTAAAAGCAATACTTTTTGTAACACCGTAATACAGATCACTAGCCTAAACTGGTGATAATTGTACGTTTATTGAAAAAGCGTTTTTTTTTTTTTTTTTTTTTTTTTTTTTTTTTTAAAAAAAAAAAATTTCTGCGTCTTTCTTAAATAATTTTTTTCAAGTGTTCATCTTTTGGAAAACGCTATGCAGAATTAATGAAAAAAATTGGGTTATAATCCTAATAACAAGAGAGCAACTATTTAATATAATTTTAAATCAAATGGTGTAATAAATTTACATATTACACCACTGGTGTGTGAACATTTTTTATTATAGAGAATAAATAATTATATAATCTGACCTTTTCCAAAATAATATAATAATAATTACGAACCATTATAATTTTTATTCAATTTCGATTTTGTTTTTGATGAACAAAAGAATTCTTTCTAGACAAATTTACCTTTCTTAATAAGATAAATCAATTGACTAAAACTGAAATTTGCGTAAACGCCACTTCATATGAGTTTCTTCGCATTGGAAAGTGATAAAGTGATACAAATGATCGACTGATGCATATAAGAAAATCATTTCATTCGACAATGATTAACTTTTTTTTTTAAAAAAAAAAAAAATGACGTTAATGATTCTAAAATTTGCATTCCTTGCAATTTTGATTCTTCTTGAATTCATTATTTACTTTTTACCTGTACTAATCTTATGCCTAATTCCAAATTTGCTTGCAACACTCATTTGGTATTTTCCTTCAATATATCAGTTATATTCGTTTGTTCGTTTTTCAAAAGAATATGACTTAAGAGAAAGGGTTTATTCGTTTTTTGCCTTTCCTGTCATCGTAATTCTATACGTCCCATTTTGTACGTTGTTATTTTTTGGATATTGTATTCTTATCACACTCATATTCCCATTAATTACGATTGTACAAAGACCGGATTATCCATGTTATTCAATATCTTCCGTAGCGGCTACCATTCATTTGTTCTATCAATTATTTGCGAATAAATCTACAGTTGAGTTATTAAAGGATTCTCCAATATTAAGGCCTTTTAATAGTGTTTTAAATTTTACAATGGCTTATTGGAACTTTTGTTCCAATAGAATTACAGAGAAAAATCAATTTCACAAATTATATCTTTATGAATTCATTTTTACTAAACTTATCACCTCATTTGATTCCTTTATAATTTTATTGATTTTTATTTTAATAATTATACCATATTTATTCATAGCCACCTTTTTTGCAATCATTAAATATATATCGGTCATATCATTGAGGATATTAAATCACTTTGTTAAAGAAAATTTATTCAATAAATTTATCTATATCGTTATATCAATCTCCACTCCATTCATGGCTTTATTTATTGGTATAATTATTTGTTCCATTTTCACTCTTAAATTTACTTGTTTTTTCATAACGACCGTTAGTATAGCCTTCAATATGCTTAAAATATATAGCATTGATGGCTTTTATAATGCTATTTGTTTCTTCCTAATCATTATCATTAAGATATTTCTATTAATATATAATGAGGACACTTATTCATATAATTATCATATTTGTCATATTAATACTTATATATATGAATTGTTTTATGTTTGTTTTGGGTTAAACATTAATGAAAATATTCTTTACAAGGCAAATTATGTTGTTGGTTTGTTTCTTTAGTTTATCTTGGTATGGGCCTTCTCGGTTGACTACATATATATAATTTTTATTCATTTTATTAGTAGATTAGTGTATTATAGAATAGATATATATTTCGTAGTTTCAAATTATTAAATTATTACAAATAAAATACTGTAAAATTATATATAAATATTTATGATTAACTCAAAAGAAAAAATAAAAACATTTAAAATACTTATTCGATTTAATGTTTTAACAGTAATAACCCATTTTATCATATACGTGAATGTTATATACAGTATTATAAAGCAATTTTACAAATATATCGTTTCATTTAACAAGTAATGTTTAGAGAATTCAGCAATTAAATATTTATAATTATTTAGATGTTTTGTCAACTTTGTAAATTTCGTTTTCCAAATGAAATTCTGGCAAATATTTTAAGTATAATCATATTCTTTTTTTTATTAATTTAATATCCATTAAACGTAAGTATTGAAATCACGGAATTTCCAACGCGACTAGTATACCTATGAAATCCATACAATAAATATTCAAAAAAACAAGTAATTTAATAAGCTACGGAAATTATTTTCAAATTTTTATAATTTATGTTTCAGACAAAAACGATTAATGTTTTATACCTCAGTCTAATGTCTTTCCAATTTTGAAAATTCTTCTATTGCTTCTCATCTCCAACATTTTTATGAAGCTTTTCATAATCTTCAAGAGTATTTTGTAAGTTTTTTCATGAGTTTCATTATTAGCATGTTTGCAATATCATTAGACTCTTAAAATATAATTATTTTTGAAGATTATCAACATTAGCATATTCCATTACAAGATGATGTCTTTGTATTAAAAAAAAAATAATAATAAATTAAATTAAAGTATCATGACCGAAATTCGATTACGATAATTTAAGATGCAAATGCATTTTTAATACATGAAAAAATGGCATCATTATTACATTTAGATATTTTATATTAATTACTTATTTATAAAAATTGTTTTTTGTAATATATTATTATAAAGATATGAATAACTAAGCTTGCTTTCTGATTAAGGCATATACTACGGCATGAAATTACCAAAATTATTAATGTGCATATCACATAATTTTATTAAAAATCTTTTCATTACAAAGTCGTTAAAATCGCAATTCATCTTATTAATGGTTTAACATTTACTTAAACAATAAATAAAAAAATTTTCAATCGGAGGGAGTTTTGCTTATACAAATAAATGAAAAAATTTTCAGCAGGATTATTTTCAGATAACCTGAGTCTCACCCGCGACATATATTGCTAATTTAAAGTAATTTCCCGCGACTCACCCGCGACATACTAATTCAAAGTAATTCTCATGACCATTCGGGATTTTGAATTTCGAGATTCCGTAGCATACCCCATTTATGTAAAATTATTAATCTATTTTTGCTAATTTTATTTTTATAATAATTTTCTACGTTCAAATAAAATAAAATAAACCTTAATTAATAATTTAAAAAAGATTAATTTTATATAAATGTATTAAATTATCGTTATTGCATTCAATTATATTTATATTCATTAATTGTTTAAAATCATTGAATGTAATCAATTTGCTTTAAGAATTTTCCCTATACATGACATCGTTGATCTTAACTCTGGCCGAAATTATGATTCGGCCAAAATTAAAGATTACAAAATTTCGCTATTTATGTGTTTTAACATCTTTAAAAATAAAAAGTGGATAAACTTTAAAAATGAAAAATATAGAAAATTTTTTATATATATTATTTTTATTTAGGTTTATAATTATATATAATTATATTTGATTTATAACTTTTACAATAAATGTAAAATTAAAAATATTTTATAATAATTAGTAAAGATTAATTGGTTAAAGGTAGCTCATTTTAATATAAATTTTTCAACTAAATTTAAACTAATAATATATCTAGCTTAAATATTTTATATCAAGATATATATAATATTGATTGTTTAAATAAAAACTATATATTGCTTTTTAAGTAATTGTATATCTTAAAATGATATTATTTCTTAGTAATTATATAACTTAAAATAATATTGCTTTGTAATAATTATATAATTTAAAGTAATATTATAATTAAAGAAATATTATACTGAATTTTTGCAATGTAATATTTATCTATTTTCAAATTATGATTTTAGTATTTTAGATAATGTAATTAAGTATTTTTTAAATAAATTTAAAATTGTATAATTGATTATTAAAAGCAGAATTTTTATATTTTAATAATTAGGTTAAGTTTTAGTTAAATTACAATTTAAATAAAATTCTATAAGATCTTATTATCTAAAATTATATAATCTATATATTAATTAAAAAATAATTAAGCTAATATATTTAGATAACTAGAGAACAGAAACTGTTATTAAGTTCAGAATGATCTTAACTAAAAAATATTACAAATACTAATTAATATCAACTCAATTGTTAAGCAGACATATTTGCTAATAAAATTTAATTTTTTAAAAAAAAATATTTATTTGTTTTAAATTACAGTATAAGTATAATTAAATACTGATAATTAATAAAAATAACTTACTTGCTAATAAAATTTATTTTGTTAAATATAATATTTAGTTAATTTTAAATTATAGTAATAATAAAATTAAATAGGATTTTAGATATTTATAGAAATATATAGTCTTTACTATAATTTAAACTAACAATTATATTAATAAACTTTTTTATATTTTTTCATTTTTATTAAAAATATTTTATGTTTTTTAAATAATTTATTTAACTTCTCAAATACAAATAATAAGTATAATTTTTTAATTATATACTTTATTATTCATTATTAAATATTATTAATATAATAGTAATCTAAATGTTTGAAAATTATTAATTTAAATATATAGGAAATTAAAATTGTGATTATATATTAAATTTTAAAATTTAAATGATTTATTAATTATTAACTTTATATAAAAATTTATATTATTATAAATATACTTCAATTATATATATTATAATTTCTAAAAAACTAATATAATATTATTTTATTATAAGATTATATTTTAAGATTTTGTAAATAAATTATTAATAAAATCTATTTTATAAAAGAATTTTTAATTTAAAATCACTAATCATCTAAAGATTTTTGCTTAAATTTTTAAAATAAAAGTATTAAAAATTTAATTTAATCCTAGTTTAATTTTAAAATTCTTAGTCAAAAAGACTTAATTACATAAGATTTAGATTCAGGTTAAAGATTGTAATTCTAAAATTATATTCTAATAATATATATAAAATTGATCTATATAAATAATAATTATTCAAGAAAAACAATAAAAAATCATTTTAATTATAATGATTTTTTTTAAATAATAATCTATTAAATTAGAATAATAATGTATTATTCTTCTTAAATGATAAAAAATCTTTTTAAATGATAATATATGTTTAATTAAAATAATAAAATCATTTAACTAAAATAACTATTGTTTAAAAAGAATAATAATAAATTATTTAACTAATTCTATAATTATAATAAATAAAAATTATAAATTTAAAAATTTAAAAATTTAATGATTTATATTAATTAAGTTTAATTTCTAATTATTTTTTATTTCTTTTTATTTATGATTTTATTATTTATAATTTTTATTACCAAAAAATTTAATAATAAAATAAAAAGTAAAAAAAATATATTCATATGAATGAATTAGACTGATATAACAAATTGTTCATATTTGATTTATTAAATTTATTAGATAAATTAGTTATAATTGTTATATTTGTTAATTATAATCTATTTGAATAATTATTATATATTATATTTATTTAATTTTATTTTATAGTATTTTATTTTATATAATATCTTATATTTTCCTTAAGTTAAAAAATAACTTAGAATGGGATTTAAAATAAATTAAGAGTTTAATAAAGAAATATTATCAAATAATTTGCTATTACCTTATGTTATATCCTCATATAGACATAATTGTGATAAAGTATTGTATTTAATTTAACATATTAAATTAAAAATAAATTGTTTTAATTTACAGATATTAAACTAATAACTTTTATAAATATAAATATTAATATTTTATTTTTTTTTCTTTATAGGTATAACCTTTAAAATTTTTAAAAAAAATAATTAAGTAAGAATATTATTAAAAAATAAGAAAATTAATAAATTAATACTGATTATTGATATAAATAAAATTTAAAGAATTATAATTAAAAGAAAATCAAAATGTTTAATAAGATTAATATTTTATTTATAAAAATTATTAAAAGATTTTTTGATAAGAGAAAATAAGGAATAAAAAAGTTTTATTATTAAAAAAAAAATTAAATTAATTGTTTAATAAGCTTTTTAGAATGGCTTATAAAAAAATAAGAAAAAGAAAATTTAATGTAATTAAGAGAAAAGATATATTATTAAAATAAAATTATACTAAAATACTATTACAAGTTTTTTAAAATAGTTTTTTAGTATATAATTAAGAAAAAATTCTTTTTACTATAAAAATAATATAAATAATATTAATATTTTATTTTATTTTATTTATAGCTTAGATTTTAAAGCTTTTTAAAATATCTTTAAAATGTAATTAAAAGAAATATAAAATTATTTATCTTAAAATATGTAATTAAATAAAAAAAATTCTTTTATTAATTATTTTATTAAATAATATTATTTATTAAGATTTAGTATACATATTTTAATTAGGCTAAAATTTAAAAGCCTATTAAAGGTAATATGTAATATAAATTTAAACTGTAAAAAATGCTTTATTATAATTAGTCCCTTTTTTGTAAATACTGTAAAGTTTAATAAAACAATTGCAATTGCTCATAAAAATAATAAAGCTTTTTTTCCAAAAATTTTACTAATAAGACTTTAAATGCTTTTATAATATTATAATATTTTTTATAACAATAATTTTGTTTTTAATAATTTTGAATTTTGAATTAAATTTTAATATTGATATCTTAAAAAACTATAAAATTCAATAAAATAATCTTAAAATAATTATCTATTTATTGAATATTCCTTTGAGGTTTAATAAAAATTTTTTACTTAAATATATAAGTAATACTTTATCTTTTAATCTTGAATAATATCTAGATTTTATAAAATTTGTTAAAATGTCTACTTTGAAAAATATATTTTCTAGAATTCTAAATTGAAAATATCTTTTCTTTTTGAAACATAGCTTAAAACTGCTTAATAAGTAAATTATGTATAAAAATGTTGAATTCTACATCATACTTCTAAATATATAAGCCCTAAATCAGACACAATTGATTTTGCAATCCAATGGCAGTTCTCTTAACAGAAAGAACCTTGCATCAATTAATGTTACCTAGTATGCTTACAATTTTATAAACAAATAATTTGAAAGCAAGCTTTATCTACATTTGGTAAATTTTTTTATGGTCAAAGATACCATAATTTTTTTGGTGTTGAATTACAATATAAAATTTTGATTTAAATTGGTTTAATGAGTCATGTGCGCAAATTTAGCTTAGGAAACAAATTTACAGATTTCCTACAAAATCGTTCTGTACTGACCAAACAATTTGTACCTATAGGTTTTCTTTAAATTGGAGCATAAAAATACAAGATCAATTGAAATACTTTATTCAAAAAACTCATTTACTGAAGTTTCGTAGCAGTGGACTCGACCAATGATTAGCATCAACAAATTTGGCATTCGTAGAATACACGTTATATGGGTTTATATTCTTGAGTACATTCTAATTTTAAATTTTTACAGCTTCTCCCTTCTTTCTTTCATTATATACATGTATTACGAAATAATGATGTTCTGGAAATTAAGTCGGAAGAATTTTATTTCGAAGTAATTGAATCAGCAAATTCCTTAGGATGTAAATATGACTTATCAAATAACAAGCGATATAAATCCAGAGATTTGTTCACGAACTACCCACACAACTGTAAAATTACTTAATGTGGCGGTCTTTAGTAAAACATAAATTTCATACGATTTACAGTATGTCAATTGTAGTGATATAAATAAACGAAAATTTGCTTTGCATATATATTATTAAAAATCAAACTTGAACTTCTATTAATAATTCTTTTTTAAAGTAAACAATGAATTAACAAAAATAAAGAATTGATCGCAGCGGCTGATAAATGAAGGTTCAAGTAAATCTAAATAAATAAATCCAATTATTTATATACTTTGATTCTTTAAATTCTTTTTTTTAAAAATCATAGTAAATGTCAATCAAAAGAGGTTCTTACTCAACTGATTTATTTAGTACTTCAACTTCAACTTTTTTCCTTTCATTAGATTTGCTATTATCATCAGCTTTCATCCTTTTTTGTTTAAGTTTCTTATGTATGGAATATAATGTCAAACATTGGCTTAAAAATACATCTTCGACAAATATTGAAAAACTTACCATTTCGAATAATATGTTCATTATTTTAGTGAATTTTTCTATTCTAGTATCTTCGTCTTGCTTTGCATTGATGCTTCTCAATACATTTAGATATAATTCGTCTTTGGAAATTGCCATTTGCACAATTCGCTTTAACTCCTTTTCCGAAGATTCTAATTGATTCATTATGTCTAAAGTAAAATCCGTCAATTCGTCAAGTTTCGAATCTATTAACACACTTTTTTCTTTCGCTGTTGAGACCAATCTCTTTGTAAGTTCAGAATCAAATTGTTTTCTTATTTCCAACAACTTTTTGTATTCATCTTGGACATCTTGAACACCTATTAACAATACAAAAAGAAAAAATTGAGCCATTCTTAATCATTATAATAACCATCAAATAAGACTCACCTAGGCATATTACCACCTCCAAGGATAGAGTTGATATCCGTTGTAACGTTTCATCATTCCATCTTCCGTATTTTTGGGTGATTGCATGTGCGTTCTGATCCCTTGCTTCAATTTTGAAAGATTTAAATAGTTCGGATGGATTTAATCTGTATCGACCATGAAATAATGGTTGGCCGGATTTACCATTTTTAAACAAGCTAATGTTTGATGTTAAAAATGTTAGGAGACCTCCCAAGTCAATTTTCGAAGGATAGTTCAGATGCCGATGGTAGCATGTCTTCATAAACTTTTCTATAGTTTCAGAAGGTATATACTTTTCGTGTTTCTTGATGTATTTACTAAGCGCTTTCTCAACATATCCAAGTATCGGCTCTACGTACGCACCTTGTTCTGATTCTGAAAATGAAAATCTCTGTGGAATTTGTGGCTGATGGCATTTTTCTTTTTCAGAAACTTTTTCCTGATCTAGCTCCAGATCTCTTCTCTTTTCTATTTTCAGACCTATTTCCTGTTTCTCTGGATCTTCCACATTCAGAGTTTCATTCTTTTTTATTTCCTGAACATCTACCACATTTCTACTTGCTTGCATCTTTTTCTTAAATTTATGATCTGAAAGGCCACTAATCGCTTGTTGTATAATACTAGAAAAAAATATTGCTTTTTTAAAATTATAATAGAATTGATTTTCGGTAATTAAATTCTTCTCGTTTATTTTCTTAATCTCATCACCATTAAGCCATGAATTTAATGGCTTGTATTCTTCTCGCAGTACTTTATCATTTTTCAATATATCTTTCAAGGATGACTGCAACGCATTTATTTTTTGTTCACTTGTGACATTTGTCTTTTTTATGGGAGGACCCAATAACAGTAACGCCTTAATTGTTTCGTCTAAACTACCTCTAATACCGATATTGAGATTATTCTTCATCCACTTAGAAAGTTTAGCCATCGTGAAGGTGAATAAAAATTTTCAACATGTATTCCAACTGAATATTAATATTCGAAAAATAAATTACTGCTAACCATTAATTTTCTTGCCGCCACAAAAATCTTACCCTGCATCCACAACAGAATTTCACTTTCACGTGACCATAATAAAAATATTTGTCACCCCGCGTCACCCCCCAACTTTTCATTTTTACTATGTATTCTGGGAACTTAGAATTTTTTCGGTAGTGAAATACTATTTGTCACGCCATTATTTGTCACCGTAAATCTGGCATTATCACATGTAGTCGCATAATGCAAGCCAAAATGTCACGTGAAAGTGAAATTTTGCTGGGGATGCTGGGGGTTGCCACAAAATTTCATATCGCGTGACTTTTAATGTTTATCTAGAACTATCCAAAAGGCTGAGAAACAGAAAACCGAGAAACACTTATGGTATTTTCAAAACGACAAGTTTTTGTATTCACCCTTCATATGCAAATGTTCAAGTTAAAATAAATATAAAAGAGATCTTATAACGAATGGTAAGAATCTACTTTAATTCTTGTTTCACAAACCGGTTGTGTTTTATGGTTCTTATAATGATATGGGTGAAACCGATATATATCGCCCATATCCGAAACCGAAACTGTCCGAAATTACTTTCGCCCGATAGTGTAAATAAATTTTAAAAAGGAAGAATCGCACAAAAAAAGTTCTTAGAATTTATTATATTATCTATCTTTATTTGGCAAATATACAATTTGTAATTTCCGATATTCCGAAATTCCGAATTGCTCATTTTCGGAATCTTCTGCTTCTTGTAAAAATTCACAATCATCATCTTCAAATACCTCTCAAACTTCAGATGGTACCTTATACCATATTTTTTACAATAAGCACAGGTAGCATTATAATGTCCTTTTGAAATTTGTCGACCTTGTTTAATATGTGTTCCCCATATTATAGATTTTGGTTTTCCACTTTGCTTTTTTATTGTATTAAGTTGAAAAGAATATTCTTGTTCGGGTAAAGACATGGTAAATGTTATACTAACATGTTGGATTGTTGATCCAATTTACGAAATCCCCTTTTTAATATACTGTATTATCACATTGTAAATTTCCTTTGAAAATTATTTAAAATTATCCGAATGTAAAAAAATATCGAAAAATTAAAGTTCCAAAAAAAATAAATAAAAAAAATAATTAATTAATTAAATTACGGTTAGACAAATAGAGTTACATTTTAATTTATTGAATTAACCTAAATATTCTTTGTCAAAGTCACATGAATTATAATTTGGATATATCGGATAGTATCAGAAGACTAGGATTTGAAAATAGGGTTTCGCCCACATCATTAGGTTCTTACAAATTGGAGGTGCCAACTTAGCGTCAAGCGGAAAATGAATCAAAAGCAGGTCTTTTACTGTTTGTTATATAACTGTTTGCAAACATTACACAAATTCCGAATTCTTAGCCTGATGATAAATATAACATATACTAGGAAACGGGGACCGTTGTGAGTCCTGAACGTTTATACAATAACGTGATATCGAAGGTAACGCATGGATCATCGGTGGTATATGAACACTTCCGGGATCCCGGGATAACAAAATAGTAGCATAACACAATGCACAACGTGACCAGAACATGGGAATATCGGAACGGGTAAATTTTTAGAATAAGGATCAAATTTTTAGAAATGATCAATGATGAGAGCAAGGTAAAAATCGAATCAGGTAAAAATAAAATCTTTGAATTTATTAACGTAGCTGATGAGAATAGGATAGAAATAAATGAAATCAATTTACAGAATTTTTTTAAAATGTTCAATAAAGATAAAAAAAAATTACATTTATGAATGTAATAAAATACCATAAAGAATTTAAAGTAAATGAAATTTTATTAATGAGATTTTTGAACGATTATATTGGTAGTACTAACAATAGAAAAGGAGTTATTATTATAGAGTAATTTGGAAACATTACTCAGAAGAAGGAAAAAGACAGGGTAAGTACAGAGGGTGATCACGGATACCCAAACGATAAGTATTTTTTGTTTATTCGCTTTGTTTACATGTTTACATATATTTCTAATTTAAGCATTTGTTTAGGATATAAATGGATGTCGATCACAATAATAACAAATAATTTTCTTTCAAACAAAAATGGTTAAAACAAAAGAATTGAATGCTGAATAATATGGGGCAATTCTTTACGGTCACAAATGAGGTGATTCATATCAAAAAATTGCTGACATCATTCAATGTGGTAAAACAACTGTCCATTATGCGATAAAACGTTTTAAAGAAACTGGTTCTGCAATACCAAAAAAATGTTGTGACCTGAAGTTACTTTTTAATTCAAATGCACAATCTTCACTCAAAAAGATTATTACACAAAATTTGAAGTATTGTCGCCTTACCACTCAAAAAATTCAAGAATTATGGACTAAAAAATAAGAAAGTTTCAACTGTTACAATTCATCAGACTCTTAAAAAAGTCAGCTTACATTCATGTGTTGCCCACTTTAAACCATTAATTTCTGAAAATAATAAAGAAAAAAGATTGGCTTGAGCATTGGAAAGAGAAGATTGGACAATTGCAAAATAGAAAAAAGTTGTATGGTCTGATAAATCAACATTTAGCCAATTTTTACAAAGTTATAGCTTACATATGTAGTGTATACCAGAAGAAGAATTTGACCCTTCTTGTTTAACTGCTATAGTAAAGCACAGTTCCAGTTGAATGTTTTGGGAATGTTTTTCGTAGTATAGGCTGAAACTTCTTGTTTCTCTTCGTGAATCTGTAACAGAACAAAAATATGCAAAAGTATTACAAAGGCATATTATTTTAATTTACAAATTAGTTCCTCTCAAACAAAGAATTTTTCAAGAAAATAATGCCCCACTTCATCAAGCAAAGATTGCCACTGATGTTTGTAATGCCTCTAAGATTTTTGTACTATCCTAACCTATACAAAGCTCTAATTTAAATCCTATTAAAAATCTTTGGAATGAAATTGATAAGAAACTTTGTAACTTATCTAATCAATCTAAAAATGTAAAAGATTAAAACGTAAGGTAAAATATGTTTAGTGTTCAATTCCACTTGAGTATATTCAAAATTTGGTTAAAAGTATATTCTGTCACATTTAAGCATGTATAGCAATTGAAGGTGGTTTAGCAAAGTATTAGTTTTTTATTTTTTTTAATAAAATATATAGGAAATATTCAGAACAAATAAATTTTTTGCTTATTCTAAAAAAAAATTAATATAATAAGTAAATTCAAATAGTTTAATTAATCATTCAAATACCTGTAATCACTCTTTGTAAATAGCAAATGAAAATGAAATCAAAATGATTATTAAAAATGAATGGTCAATTAATATACTTTAAAAATGCAAAGTGAGAAAGACAGAAATAGAAAAAAAAAGAGAATACAGTTACACCTTGATATAACGAAGTTGCCGATCTAGCTGATCAGGACTTCGTTATAAGAATCTTCGTTAACGCTATAACGAATTATGCGGAATGTATAACGAATAATTCGT